ATACGAGCCGGTGAAGATAAGAATCTATTGATTGTGGTGGGTGAAGACTGCCAATTGTCGCATGAAGGCGTCTAAAGAACAAAATTTCGGTAGAAGAAAATAAATCGAAAATTCCATCATAAATTTGGTAAGCATTTTTCAATGGACTCGAACATATTGTTCTCAAATGCATGTGATCTCGGTGTTTGATTTATCCAAAAAGTAGATTGGAAACATTGCCAACTGTGTTTCCATGTCCGAAGATATTAATTGGCATAAAAGCCACCTACGACAGGATATCCAAATTAAAATCCCAAATGGTGCTTAACCAGCTTGATTGCAAATATTAATAAATATCACAATCAAATATCAATGTTTTCAGGCGATCAATCTAGATAATCATCCAGAGGAACTATCGGATTTTTAAACATTTACCTATCACATCACACTTCCAAAACTTATTTGCTTGGGTTTGTATACTGTCGTCACTATAACCAAATATTACGACTGGCATGTTTATTCAGTGAATCTATAACTAAGTGACATGAAATATGACTGACAATGGCTGTAACACCATGTCGAACTCGATGAGGAGCCGTTAGATGTGTGATAAATCTCTCAACACTGTTTGAACGTTCACCAAAAAATTGTCTAATTTGCAGGTTATCCACATTCCAGTGTCGCGGTGGTGTCACCATCACAAACACAACAGCACCACCAGCACCAAAAGCATAAGGTCCCAAAATGACTAAATAATTGTGCAGAAAATATACGAAAGCGATGTTCAAATGATTGATGAAATTTTCAATCAGTTGGTTTTAATGTCGTGATCACGGGAGGCGGAAAGAAATGAGGTCTTACTAGAAGCACATGTTTTGCCATATTTCTGATAGTTGAAACAATTGATCAAGTTTCATTTATTCACGCTTGTTGGCGCATCAATACCACCTGACAATAGTTTTGATTACTCCGGATCAGAAACTGCAACGTGCCAGTAGTTTGTCACTACAAAGGCTGTGATTTATAAAGAACGATGGATGAAAACTGGATGTAGTTGCTTTTTTGCTTTGCACATATCCTGATTTATTCGGGATACGCAATGTTCATTAGCTGTCAGGTGATGAACCAGTTGCTGTCAAATTGTGATCACTTGATGACTAGAATTTGATCGATGGAACCATCAGGCGAAGAGTATCAGGTCGGAAGCGACCACCGGTTAAAAAGGTAACGTGCTGCAAGCGTATAGTCTGATTGTAAGGCAAATGAGATTAAGTTGATAAATGATGCTTTCCCTTACGATCAGACGGTAAAAACACAAATGACTCCTCCGGTTGATAAAGCTGAAATGATCACTCTAAAAGTGAAAACGGCGCTGTGCTGTAGAAGCTCTGAAAATCCCCGAAGCTGATTTATATCTACCCATCAGTCGTTCGTGCGGTTCTGTTTTCTTGTATGGATACGACCCGAGGCTTCTTTGGGCGAAAAACGTACTTCAAGTTATGAATCGCCAAGGTCTACAATGCTGTACATTCAGGAAACACCTTAGCCAGTGTATCGTTATACACCCAATCGATTATATTGAATGGTTAGTTTGCGGTAACTATTCACTCGAGTTTTTGTCGTATGGATGCATCTGAACCATATTTTGGTGATCCTAGTCCACAAAGTGGCTCACGTTAGCGGCATGCACCCCATCACCACTAATTTCCGTAATCAAAAGCCTACTACTTATGAGTAATACATAGCTATTACCCACTACGTACGCACATTTTCCATAAAAACCGTATAATCAACCGAAAAATGTTCTAACATGGGTAAAATTGTGAAGTGTTGGAAATAAATATCATTGTCATTATTAAACATTTTTTAGAATATTCAGACCACATTCTATATTGCGCCTCATCTAAATGTTTCCATATGACGTCACTAACTGATCCCGTAACATTTTTCAAGCGGTGATTAATACGGCTCCAAAGCGATTCCACATTATTTGTGTGGACACCGGTTGCAGGATTTACAAAACCATCTATGTGATTGACACATGTGCACATATCCCAGTGAACACAGTGAGAGATATGCAGCCCACTGATCGCGTTAACTGTTGTTCCGGGCTGCACCCCTAGTTGAATTATAGGTAGTAAAACCTCGGCTGATCTGTTCACCACTCTCTGAAAGTATCCTTTCTTCCGGTTGCAGTCGTACATACCAAACATCCACACGGTAGTTGTTGGCCGACCGCAACGGTATTTGTTCTTCACAGTAACGCTTTCATCAATTTCGACAACAACACCTAGATCTCCCAGTTGCTTCGTCAGGGAACACATTACTGATGAGCAGACATCACGACACTAAGTGTACCACTGAATTGCGCTCTTCCTTGAAACGTTCACCATTGCAGCAGCACGGATAACCGGTTCCTCCATAACGAAATGGATTATTAACTCCATCAACTTCGATAAAGGAAGCTCCGAATTCTCGAAAAATGTTCACCACCGAATGGAAAATCGCTTTTTGTAAGTGGTACAACTAAACATGAAACCATTTGAGCTCCGAGAAAATTCCTACATATGCATCACACGGCCACAGGAAAATTACGTTTTTTCCATCCACACTCCTCCGGTCTTGCATATATTCTACACAAGCCTCACCTTGAATTTCTTGCAGCATACGGTACATATCAAAACTATCCGATATGGTCTCAAGGTCACAAATTAAAACAAATAGGAAAAAGTACACTTTTTAAAATAAAAAAAACCCTTGGTTTATATCTAAAAAATATTATAATTAGTTAAAAGTGGTCGCTTTTAGAATGAACTAAGATTAATGAAACCAGAATGGGGTGCCTTTCGGTAACGTGTGCCCACAAGATAACGCCAGCGCTACGGTGCGATGCGCTACAGTTTCTGTGCAACGAAACACAAGGCCAATAGTGCTAACCACTCGGAAGCCGTGCGTTACAAACGGAAGCTGTGCGACGTCCAAAATTTAACCCGATCGTAGTATCCCGTAGAAACAAATAAATACGCAAGCGGTGGATTAAGCAGTTATTATACTTCCAGTATGTAAATGTAAACGTTACCGGTTCGTAGGCCGGTGAGAAAGCAGTGCGTCAACATACAAGACGGCAGGCGCAAAACTGGCGCAAGCGTTACTAAAAGAAGTATGTCGCCACGCTGGACAGTCAGCGAAACAATCAATGCGGACAGGTCAATACTGATCTCTGATTTACTAAGGTAGATCGAATTCGTAACAATGTAAGTCCGCATGACGGACGGACATGCGTGTGTTGACAGGCCTCAATGGTCAATCATGTGATGTGCGGTAAACATTTCGCTGGATTGCATGCCACAACACGGACTATCGGCGAAAATCTGTTAGACCAATGACGTTTCTTTGTACGTATTATTTAATCCGTGATTTTTCTAGGTAAACTATTCGCTACTTCTGTGGTTTTTTTCCGGCGTCTCGGTGACGGGAGGTCCCAGTGGACGATTCTGTGCTTCACTTGCTGATGCGATTCATGATCCGCAGTTCATGCCTATCCAGATAATTACATATATCCAGTCGTGAGGATTCGCCAGAAGTTGGTCCGAATAACCCAGTAGGTAATCGCATCGGAATCCCAGCCCATCGCGGTTGAGTTCGAATTCCCGTAGATATGCTGTGCTGATCATTCCAACCAAGAGGGACGAAACAACTGCACAGTTTGTGCAAGATGAATACTCTTTAGTAAACAAACTTTGGTCACTCTATTGCGTTTTACATAAATTCACATATATTTCCAACAAATTCGACTTCAGCTTTGGGTTCACTGATGCATGAAACCTGAATTGGGTCGTTAGGGATCGGGAAACGTTTCTGATCCATTGTGATGCGGCCGTGGGCATTCCGAACTATCTTATTCCAGAAGTTTTACTATCTCAAGGCGCCGGTGAGGGTGTTAACGGATTTGAAGTGGACTTTGGGTGTATTGGTTTGTGAAGTCCTTTATGGGTACTCCGTTGTATTCGGAGATTCTGGTGAACACGTATGCAAAGATTATGAGCCATGCAACGAGTCTCAGATTTCCCGAAATTGTGAATATCTCTGATTCTGCACTGGATTTCATAGAGTAAATACTTTGCGATCGAAAATGGTACCGCTCCGGTCTATGAGTATCCGAAGCCATGCGGGGTTTGCGCCGGATTGGGCCGATTCCGTGCGTGAAATGTTCGATATGCGCGACGTGGTGGACCTCTCCTTAACCAATTGAACATGGTCGAATATACGAGCCTGTCTTGGTCCGTTTCAACCCCATTTCACCAGTAACACGAACATGACCTATCACCCATTGCACACAGACGATGAAGTGTAACAGCATCGCAATTTACACGATCCGTTTCACACACCTCCGACTGATCTCAAACGTTCCGATCCATTGTGGACGCTCAGACCGATACGTCAAGCAAATCCAAACAACCCCTGGAAACTGAAGCGTTCCTGAACAAATATCCCGGATACCAGTTAGCTTTCGCCGATTTCTCCTTCTCCTTCGCACATCCCGATCGTTTGACATTACTAAGTGGACTCCATCTGGCTCCGCGTACAACTTCATTCTGGCGACCGACCGCAGGTATAGTGACCCCAAACGATGATTCAGATGCGGGGTTACCGAACCGTCACCGCCAGTCACCACCAAGCCCACTTTACCCGAATCGTATCGAAACGAACCCACGAATTCATCCGCGCACAAGACGGACGAAGGTCGAGCTTCGAGCACAGTTGTCGCGAGTTGAAGCTCAACTGCCAGACATCTTGGTCTAAGCTGAGTTTCATGCGAACACGAGGGCTAATATGTAAGGTCAATTGACCAAAATTTCCTATGAAATCCGTTCATTGGAGACCGAACTAGCCCAGCGGGATCTGGTTCTTCGAAACGCAATGTAGCAAACAGATCAGCGACTCGAACTGGTGCGAACGGAAGCGGTTGCCGATTTGGCTTGATTTGAAGCTGAGACCGCTAAGTGGAAATTTGTTGCTCAGTCCAAACAAGCTGCCCGACAATCGGCAGAGGCCACTGGAAGTGGTGCAATCACAGCTTCTCGTCCGGTCAAACTGGCCACTGGAGTGACTGATTATCTGTCCTGTGCGGATTCAAGGAACACTCTGTCTCAAGCGGTTTTACCTACTGGCTCATTTACCCAAGACGGTGGCGTCGGCGATCATGTGAGCAATCAGTCTAAAGATATGGTTCGTCCGGCACCTCGTGCCGCAGCTCGTAAGGCGGCGGACACGTTAGAGGTTAGGAAACGGTTCTCCAAGGATCAAGTTGCGGAGAATTTGGATCAACTAAGAGGACTGCCCCGAGAATGAGATGAACTTTGATAGTTGCTGGAAATAAGCAAGAAAGCGTGTTGGTGGTCGCACGAAGATTGCGAGGCCGCTAAGCGTGCCCCAACCGAGAAATAGCAGAGGTCTACGCGTTATCATGAGGCCATTTGGATAGCCGAGGACAATGCATTGGCCGTTTCTCACCACGCAACAGTCGCCCGTCCTGAGGTTGCGAGCTGACTCAAGACAGTTCATATTTGTGCACCCAGTGATTTGGTTTATTAA